GTACTTACAGATCGGCCAAGTGGGCCATAAGCCTCTCATCTCATGTTAATTGAATTGAAAGTAATATATGCGACGAGGCAGGCCAAATAAATGCCAATGTTTAGCAGCAATTAGCAGTCGAAGCTGGTAAAATGGGTTTGGCACCGGTTTCCAGCTTCTTGGCTCGTCTCTCGATTCGATTCGATTCGATTTGTTTCGCTATTCTGCGTTTCAATTCAATTTGTTTCATTTAAGGCTCGGCTCGTTTTGTTCGTTTCAAATGAGTTGTTGTTGTTGTTATTATTTTTGTTGTTACGTACAAGTGCTTGCTTGCGGCAATGCAAGTGGCTAGGCATGTGTGTTGTCTCTGCGTATGTGTGCGTGTGTGTGTGTGTGTGTGTGAATTATGCATGTGCCGCTGACACAGCTACAAGTGTAGAACATAAACACATCCGCACATTTGCCCATAATTGCATATTTATGGTTATTTTGTAGATTGTTGTTGTTGTTGTTGCGTTGTTATATTCACAATTCGTTTCATGTTTGATATTGTTGTTCTTGTTTTTGTTATTGTTGTTGTAGGTGTTGTTTTTGTTATGCAAATGCGTGCGTATGTTGTGGATGTTTTTTGTAGTTGTTTTTGTTTTAATTTTGTGTTTTGTTTGTCGAACCAGTTAAAATATGAAAGCAAGGCAGCAGGCAGAGCATTTTTAGGTACGCACAGGCAGCAGCGACAGCGGGCAGCAAGAAAACGGTCAAAAGAACAAGAGAAGAAGAAAAAAGAAAGAGAAAGAAGAAGAAAGCACATATTTTAATTTTCATACACCAATTCCAACTAATGGCATATCTATGTATGTATATGTACAAGATGTGTGGTTTCCGTTTGTATTTCTGTGTGATTATGGCAAACAAAAACAACAGCATATATGCACATAAGTACGAGTGTGTATGCATGAATGTGTGCGTGTGTGTGTGTGTGTGTGTGTGTGTGTGTGAAAGTTTGTGTAAGAATAAACAGTCAAAGAGACAACAATAACAGTTAGCAAAAAAGGTAACGAGCACCTCCAGCCACAACTGCAGCTGCAACCGCAGCCATTTGAGGCCATTTTCTCGAAAGCTGCAGCTGCCTTGCAGTTCTCTGGCAATACGAGTACATAAACAAAACGGTTAGAGTTGGAGTTGGAATTGTAAAAACATTTAGCAAAATACACATTCATTCCCACATATGTATGCAAGTACATACATACATAGATATGTATGTATGTACAGATGAGAGAACTAAGAACACAGTAGTTGAATGTAACAGAAACAGTAATTGTTGTTGATTTTACATGGAAACCGCACGAGTCAAATGCTTCTACGATTTGTTGATCTATAACGCCATGCATTTGCTTAAAGTTTCCATCCAATTATGCGGAAATAGCTTAGGTCTGACCAGCTTCATATTTTATGCAATTACTTTTAAAAAATTGTAACCCCTCAAAACATTTCTATTTTATAGGCAAATAGGGAAAAAGTATCTCATCTGATATGAAATGGTATAGAACGCCGATATTGTGAAAATGTTATGTAGAAAATAAAATAATTGTAAATGGATTTATAAAAAACAGAAAATGGAAATGCATGCAAATATGAATTGATGCGTAGAAAAGAGACGGGTGCTAATTGAAAAAAGGATATTAAATGTAAATCAGTGAAAGAAAATGAAATGGAAATGCAATGAAATGGAAAAAAATGGAAATTTGGAAACGAAATCAGAATGGAAATGAAACCATGATTTTGTTGCAGTTACCAAAAAAATAATGCAAATAGACCTGAGACGATATGCTAATGAGATGGAATGAATTGGAAATAGATCAAATAGAAGTCAATGAGATCAAGAATATGATATGGCAGTGGAGCTTTATGTAAATCAAATCAGAAATGACAGAAGCTATCTTAAATGAACATGGATCGACTAAGTTGTGTTGAAAGATTTGAAAGTGTGGCTATAAAGTAAGTAGAAATGGTCCTCCGTACAAAATAACTCTTTTTATGCCTGCTGTACATACTATATCTATACAGTTAAAGCTTCAGATAATTTTAATTAAATGTAATTTGTTTGCAATTTCGCCCGGAGTTATGTTTATGAAACATTTCCGAAATACTTTCGGAACTTGAACGTTGACCCAAATGCGCTCATAAATGCTTGGCAGTCTAGTTATGGCCTTTTTCCTCATCCGAACTCCTTCGATCTAGATTGTTAGGTTTTGTATTTGTATATATTTGATTATTATGCGCTCTGCAGTGTTTGTAATTCTCCGGGCATTTCAAGACATTTGCTTATTCCTTTTATTTTTGATAATATCTTATTGTTGCAAGCCGTTGTCGGCAGGTTGGCTGCACTTTTTTCTTAAAGAGTTTCAATCACAGCTAACGTAAATTTTCATATTTACGAAACTATTTAGTGTCGACAGCACAGAGATGTATAAAGTAGGAAAAACAAATTAAAGTTAAACACAACGATTGTAAAGCAGTTTTTGTAATCAGGCTATTTTCTTTTCATTGTTTTCCTTTTTCTTTGTAAATTTTAAAGGGTTAGAGTTACATAGTATTATATAAATTTATTTATCATCATTATAAATACTTTTTAGACCGTTTAACTACTAGAAAACATTTACATTTGCAACATCGATTAATATACACAGAAGAGTTGAGTTTCATATTTTTTCTTTAATTTCCTATTCTTGAGCTTTAAGTCTACTAAAAAAATGTGTTGAAGGAGAAAACCTATATGATATATTATGTTACATATACATAGTACATATATTATGTAATAACAACACACATTAAATCGAGAAATTTGAAATTCTTGCATTGCATTCTGTTTTTGGTTTCTTTTTTTTTTTTTTGTTGTATTCAAAAGATTTGCATGCACTTGCCAAAAAAAAAAAACGAACAAAATGTTGTATGGTTTTACATATGTATAAGGTACACCAGAGCTGCCAAACTATAGCGTCATCGGAAATATTATATTGGAGTATCAGGTGCCCATCAGTAATGCTAGATACTATGCAAATGCTCCCGAGGAGAGAAAATCTAGAAACCAATTTTATATAAATAGATCATGGTTGTTCGCCATATGCTCAGGACTTCAAAGGCCAAGGAAAACTTAAAAATGCTATATGTTTGTTAATAAATATTTTAGAAAAATAGAATTGTTCCTACATATATTACATCTGCTGGGCATATGTATATATTTTAATAAGTTTATCCATATAAAATGGGAGGGGTGTATGGAATTTTGTTCTTTTTTTTTTGCAGAAACAGCAGTCTCACAAACTCAATCGAATATATCAAAATATTTTAATATTTTTTAGAGGACTTTTTAGTAGAGTTTTAAGCGCTTCATTTACATAATAGGATAATTGTCTATTCAGGAACTCCCTTCAACAATGAAACGACCGATCGGTGCACTGTTCCTTGCTATGTGGGACATGTTCAAGACAGTATTCGTTTGCGCTTAATCCCAATTAAATAGGAAGCAATATTTTTAGGATGTTCCTCAGTATTATTGTTGAATGGCATCCGTACTTGATTTTGGGGTGTTGTATTCAGTGAATTATCTCCATCGATATATGTATATTGAAAGAATAGTTTGACAGCTCCATGGCAGACAGACATATGCATGAGCTACATACTCACTAATGGCGAGTTTTGACAATTTTCATCGGGACTTGTCGATTGTGGCTAGACCCTTCGGTTTTTTGCTTTTCTCATTGGGCTACAGTTTGGACTTAATTGTGGGCCGTGTATTAACAGGAGACGCCCTGCTTGGCCACCGTGTACCAGGTGCTGACGGTGACCAGCGATGGTGAGTCGGGTGTGCTGGGCAGCTGCGCGACGCCGGCAGCCTCGAGCGGCAGCTGCAGCTGCAGCAGCGTGTCGGGTGCGGTCCCATTCGATGGCAGCAGAGCGCTAGGCAGTGGTGGTGGTGGAGGCGGCGGAGGTGGTGGTGGTGGCGGTGTAGGAGCAGGGGGCTGGGGAGTTTGCTGCTGCTTGGCCGCTCTTCGCTTGCCTTTGCTTTTGCTCTTGGCACGCGGCTGCTGCCGCTGCTGGGGCTGCGGCTGCTGATATGCCTGCAGCTGCTGGGGATGGTGGAAATGCAAGGGCTGCGGCGTGTGCAGATCTCGTCCAACCAGCGGACCCACTTGGGGGCAGCGGAATCGTATGGCCTGCTCATTGGCCATATTCAGTTGCTGCCAGTGGCTATTGCGACTCTTGCTTCGCTCACGCTGCGCCGTCGACTGCGGCAGAAGCTCACGATGATTATGGGAATGATGTGAATGATGTGAATGACGCGAATGATGATGATGATGGTGGTGGTGGTGGTGTTGATGTTGATGTGTTTGCTGTTGTTGTCGTTGTTTGCTGCGCTTGCGCTGCTGATGTTGCGACTGCTGATGCTGCTGCTTGCTTCGCTGTCGCGTCTTGCTGTGAGAGGATCGCGAGCGTGAAGTGCGTGGCAGCGAAGGAACTCGAACATGATGCAATTCCAATTCGCCTTTGGGGCGACAGCAATGCCTGCAAATCCTATGGAAATGCTGCTCATCATAATCGCTTTCGTACTCCTCATCCTCGTCCCCATCTCCATCTCCATCTAAATCGCCATCTCCATTGTCACCATCCACGTACTCATCATCGTCAAAGCCATACCCATACCCATCTCCCTCTCCATCTTCGTCCTCTGCACAGTCTGTGTCGCATTTGGTGGCTGTGCTGCAAGTGGTGTTCGTACTGCTGCTGTGGTTGTTGTTGCTCTGGCTGCTGTTGTTGTAGCAGGACGAAGACGGCTCGATATCAATGACATAAGCGCCGCTGAAAGCAACGCCCGACGTCGCCACTGAGTGGCAACATTTGTTTGTTGTTTTTGTTGCTGCTGCTGCTGCTGTTGTTGTTGTTGTTGTGCGCTGTCTTGTGCTATGTTGCTGGTACTGTTGTTGTTGCTGTTGTGCTTGTTTTGTTGACTTACGTTTGTCCGGCTGTGGTTGTTGTTGCTGTAGTTGTTGCTGCTGACTGCGGCTGCGACTGTGCCCATGACGCTGACTGCGCTGATTCCTGCTGCTCGTCGTGCGCCGCTTTCTTGCTGTGTACTCGTCGCCCTTGTCGGTCGGATATGGTCAGAATGCTGTATCGAAGACGGACATCGATCTCGAGATGGCCTCATCGTTGCGGCACGCCTCCAAGAATTCCTCGAGCGTGACAACGCCATCCCGGTTAATGTCCATTTTCTGAAAAATATGAGAAACAGAAAATGGTTCCAACTACTAGTTTTGAACAAACAAATAAAAGTGTGCCGCAAAGCTATAAATCAAATTTAAATTTTATACGCTCCCATTGATATTTTCTTCCAAATCCTTGCAAAATTAAGCCCATTCAGGCATAGAGTGAAGAGCACAACATACAAACATATGTATGTATATATTTGAATAATAGTGAGTTTATTATAGTAGTATGCTTTTCCATTATGCTGTTTTTGATGTGGCTTTCAGACTCAAGTTGGGTACGAAATTGGGATTTTGCAATAGCCCAGTAGAAAATAAAATTTTTCTCGCTTGCTTAAGTCTCTGAACATTGCTCAATGACTATAATATAAATTTGCAATTAAAAATTAATCTCAAAGAGGTTTTCGCTTAAGCCGATTTCGCGAAAAGGGATCAATATGTACGAGCCTGCGGGCATGTTTATGTAAATACTAAGGACTTTTTTGGCCAGTTCTTAAATCAATTTAAGTTGTCACTTAGCATGTCCTGAAAATGTTAGCATTGCTTATTGCCTGCTAATGGCAACGTGACCGGCATTTAACTATTACTGGCTGCTGAGATTTGGGCATTGGCCAGTGTATGGTGTCTTCTTTTTGCGATTTTCTGGCCAAATAGAAAATGAATAAAATACATAATTTAATTTGCATAATTCGACACAGCAAGCAAATCAATGTCAAAGCCAAACGCACCCTCAACAAAAAAGAGAAAGAAGGGCAGAATAAGTGAAAATAGGATGAATGAAGGAAGAAGAAGCTGCGGTCACTCTAAGGTTAGGTAAGCCCTAAAATGTATTTTTATGTTTTGTTGTTTTTCTTTGTTGAAGGCAAATTGAAATCACATAATTAACATAAACAATTTGCTGTGGTCTGTGCTCACCTGAAAGATTTGCTCCACTTTTCCCTTGATCTTCTCCTCCTCGGGACACTCGTCGGGAAGGCGGCCCATCAGCTCGTATATGGCAGTCACAATGTCAGTCATTTCTTCCCTCGTAATGAAGCCATCGCCGTTGATGTCGTACAACGAGAAGGTCCAACGCAGCTTCTCCTCCACCGAACCGCGCGACAATATCGAAAGTCCTTGAACGAAATCCTGCGGATATGAAAAATAAGCGCACATAAATACCAAAAGTAGAGATTGAAGCAGGCAGCAAGTGGCAAGACAAGAGATGCTAGTGTAACGTGAACAGGTAGACAAACAAACAAACATACAACCAAACAAACAGACGGGTACGGTCAGAGTATGGGGAGATAAATGCTGCAAAAAAATTGAAAATATGTTTTAAGAAATTGCTTGTAAACCGCACCCTGCTAGGGTACAAGCTCCCCAAAGTCCACACCTCCATTCTCGCAAATGCCATGGCCTCCACCAAATCCTCCTCTTCCCCTTCTATCCTTACCATCACACTCCAAAGAGTGGAACATGCTGCTGAAGTGGACATTTATTTCAGTGCTTTATATGACAAATGTACCTAGATAAGAACTAGAGAAAGTGCAAAAAGTTTTACGGCTCTTTGCTCGTAAAGTGGGTGAGCCCATCCGTCCAGATGGGAGCAACTTCTGGCCACACAGTCTCACAGTCTGCTAGGTGTTTGCATAATATTTGTGCTACGTTTTGCCATTTGGCCAATTGCAGAAGCGCGCTTAACTAATTTGTCAATGTGCCGCTACCGCCGGTGCTGCTGCTGCTGCTGCCACTGCGACTGCGACAGCCACTACCACCAGTGAGCTGACCTTAGTAATTTCTTGCAGCACGTACGACGCTCACTCGCCTCCCTCGCACACAAATGTATGTCTGCTCTTGCAAAAAATGTTGCATACTTTTGCGGGCCCGCTAAAAACTTTCACCCAAGTGTGACAGCAAGAGCGTCTGTGTGTGTGATTGAGTGCGAGTGTGTGTTTGTGTGTTATCTTTCAAGCAAATAGAATATAAGTAGAACTGTCATAGCTGCATGTCGCTCATAACTTTTATGCTTTTTATACTTGACAGTCGGACAGACAGGCAGACACACAGACACAATGTTTTTCATTTGAGAGTTTGCATGCGACCTATGAAAGGAATGCGCATTATTTGAACGACCTCATCCAATATGTTCCACACACAATATGTCCGTATACATGTAGTAGTTGCTCTACTGACTTCTCTACGTAAATTAAGTGTTTACAGGCAGCAGAAGCGCTTCCTTTGGGCTTTTATTAGCCTAATAAATGGACTATTTTCGGAAAGTAATTGAAGCGCCTGGCAGCAGAAACTTAATTAAGTAACAGTTTATCAGATGACAAGTTACATTTTAGTGTTTAAAAACATAAATAAATTTAATCGGCAGGCCTATAATCTCTATTAGTCCCTTGCAGAATGTTAAAAATATTGATAGGTAACAAAATTTGAAATACATAAATATTCTATGCAATTCCCCTTGTGAAACTATCACCACATTTGGTGGAAAAATAGATAGAACTGAGCAGGACATAAGAATATAAAACACTACATATTTTAGCTAATTTGGACGAAGACCTAAGCCCAATTTTGTGCTATCTCCGATAATGCTCAGCACGTTTCTTAGTGGTTTTTTATGCATCCATTTCCACTGCCCATAACTCAAAAGTTTTCTCAGAAGGGCTTGGGCCAAGTGGTCCCCGACCAAGACTTACGTTTTGCATATGCTTAGGGCTTCATTGCAGCTGCTGTTTATTTCTTTTTGTTGTTGGTGTCGCTGTTGTTGTCGCTCGTTGTCGCTCGTTGGCAGTTTAATAAACGCGACTGTCATGCAAATCGCACATAAAACACCTTGGAACAATATGTGAACTTAATTGAAAAGCGGAAGTCTACTTAGGCAGCCGACAGCTCTAGCAGAGGGTGAGGGCGTGGCAGCTGGCAGCTGGCAGGAGGCCAGGAAATAGTAGAAGGGACAGTGTGTATGGTTTATATCGAGTACGTGCCTTGTAGTCATTACAATTTTAGGTCATTACTCAACGCAAATGGCGTTGGCGCAAAATGGCGCGCAGAAACTGAAAAACACGCACACACACTCACACATACATGCACTCTCGTACTAACACGCCTACATTCATATCCATAAAAACGATTTGCCTTCGTCTCAGATAAAGTGGCAGCATGCCCAGCGAGGTTCTGTGTGTGGTTGTGTCACTTGGCTGTGGTTGGTCTTTGCACCCTTTGTGCTGGGCACAAATGATTTTGTAATGCTCTCTGTAACGGGAAGACAAGGTCCCGAAATATACCAGAGCTCTAAAATTGTCGATATATAGCCGCAATATGTAAGATTAAAATAACAATGGCTTATAACAGATTTAAAGTGGGCAAAGGAACACATGTAGTATATTAGAAAATGTCGATTTCCTTATTTATTGAATAAAAAAAAGTAATGCCTTCTACAAAGTGTAGTGTTTTTTTTTATTTTAATGATCCTTTACATGATATTGCTTGAGTTAGGAGTACACTTGATCATTGAATGAATGCTTCAAGGTCAAAACAGAATTTTTCAAATGCTTTCAAACACTGTGTATACTTGCTTTTAAATGGATTTGTGCCACAACTTCTTAAAAGTGTGCTAATCTAATATTTTCTTTTTTTTTTTCTAAAAATAGATAAATCATTGAAAAACCTCTTAACGAAGGCTCCTCTTCTTCTTCGAAGGGTATATAAGCTTCAGTGACCCTTTGAGAGCGAATTTGCCGCGCTTTTATTCCCACTGCTGTTTTTTGTTTGCATGGCTTTGGCTTTCGTTTCGTTTTGGCTTTGCTTCACTTTTGTCTTGCGGGCCATGTTGGCCATTGTTGTTGCTGTAGCTATAGTTATTTTGTTGTTGTTGCTGTTACTGTTGTTGTTTCGGCGTTAAAATCGCCATAATTCATCGTTTCAATGGTGTTGCGGCTAACACGTGCCTTGCGCTGTCTTTGTGCCAGAGCCACGCCCACAATCTGACAAGCACATGCGAGCATTTTGCATACATATACATACTATATGAACTGTACCTTCAATTTATGTGCGTCCATGCAAGTATGCTGGTACATGTGTATCTTAGGCGTGGCCGGAAGGCAAGTTCATGTTCGGAGCAGTGCAAGTCCATGTTCATATCCTAGATACGTCGAGGAGCGGACTTCCCTAAAATGAATTCCCTGGCGATGCAAGGACAATAACACAGACGACTCAGGATAAAAGGCAAAATATATAAGCAAATAAGCAAGTAGAATTGGCAAACGAATGCTCTTGGGCTTTGAAACATTACTGATAACTATCAGATTTGTGATAATTGCTTGCAGAAAGAGCGTTGCGTAATTTATTTATTTATTCTATTATAAAAATTATTTTACCTGGCGCTAATTTAAAACTATGGATGCCATAATGTTAACGACTTTTGAGTAGAAAAATTTGCAAGTCAACGTCTATGTAAGTAGATTAGTTGTAGTACGGATATAAATATAGATAAAGATGAGTGAGTCGTGAGTTGATAAGAAAATAAATAGGTGAGCAAGTAATTAAGTAAGTTAAAATATCAACAAGTAGAAAGTAAGTAGGTAAATAAGGAAGATCATACATATAGGGTGGTAGATAAAGAGCTAATGCTGTTGAGTAAATTAATCAATGAAAAATTCCAAGAAATACGAGAGCTATGGAAAATTAGTGATTACTGAGGACAGGGGAGATGGAGCGAAATTCCAAAATACACATTTTCTGTGTATTCACATAAGGCATTCGGGACTAAAATATGGTGTTTCGAAGTCTTATAGTCTCCGAGAAATAGGTGATTATGAAGCCTCCATAGGGAGGGTGGGGGAGCGTACATACATAAGGCATCTTTGTGCAAAGTTTGATGTCTCTAGCTCTTATGGTATCTCAGATCCAGGTATTCATACGGACAGATCAAGAATATAAAGATCAAGAATATAAGTATATACAAGTACTCCTTCGGTCTGTTAAATTTTTCAGCTTGCGCCAACCTAATATACTCTTGTGCATTATATGTACAGAGTATAAAAAGTTAACAAGCCAAAAAGTAGTTAAGTGTACAAGTAAATAAATTACAGTAAATATTATTAACTATGTAAGCGGCTTACAAAATTACTAACCATTTCAAATGAATGTAAGGGAGTAGGTTGGAAGACACTTAGGCGGTTGGGAAAGTGTGTAGCTAAGTAAGGAACCAAGTAAATAAATAACTAAATAAATAATAATTAAGAGTAAGTAAATGTGTCGACTTAAGAGCCAGAAGTTGGTGAGACTATGGGGTAGATAGGTATTTCAAAAATATATCAGTTCTTATGTTGTAGTACATTGTATATGATCGAAAAGTTCGTTTCTCTTTAAATCAGTTCGCTTGGAAATCTCCTGTAACAAATATTCTTTCTAGGGAGGCTCCACGATCTGTTTTTGCAGGCGCTTGTGAATGTGTGTGTGTGCGCGTGTTCTAGAGAAAAATGCAAAAGTTATTTACAATTTGCATGCGCCGAGGGGCGACCGTCAGTTGCAGTAATCAGAGTGAAGGAGAAATTGGGGAGGGCCAGAAAAGAGCGGACCACGGGTAGTCCGTTGCCATTCGAGTGAGCATTTTGCCTCGTTTTGAATGCGCATATTTATTTGATTTCTGCTTGGGCTTTATTGTTGTTATTGGTGTTGTTTTCGCTGTAGTTGTCACTATTGCTGTTGTTGCAGTCGCTGTCGCTGTCGCTTTGTTCGTTCGCAGCTCTGACAATAGAAATGTTGACAATGACAGCCATGCCACACGCGAACAGAGCAGTTTACAATGCATGTTGTTGCCGTCCATCCATTGCACCTGTGTCCACTTCCCCTACTCGTAAATCGTATTCCTACCATTACTGCTCCGATTACTGCTCTCTGCAGCGCTCCTGCTTTTCCAGTCTGCCCTGCCAGCCCTTTCAGCAGTTGTGCGCTGCATTTTATTTCAATTTCGAGACATTTCACTTGATTTCTGTGCGGCATTGCAGTTAGTTGGTTTTGTTGTTCCCTTGTTGCCGCTTTAGTTGTTGTTGCTTTTGCTTCGCTAACTGCAATTTGTTCATCACTGATATTGTTTACAACTGCTTTTCGTTTGCAGCTGCGTGCCCTGAAAAGTAGGCAACATATTTTTGCTTAAGCCCTAAATTGCATTACGAAAGTGCGAAGTGATTGGCACTTTGCCATTTGTGTTATGGGCCAAGAAGAGGGAGGGGGAGCATATTGAAAGCAGCGATCGAAAGTTTCAAGCTCCACTGACATTCGTGTGCTTCCCTGCACTCCTTTTATGCGAACAGTTGCATACTCCTTTCACGTTCTCTTTTAGTTATTTGCTTTCCGTAAATAAATAAAAAAATGTGTCTAAGTACTATAATTTTGTATGCACTCGCGCTGAAAAGTGTACGACGAATCATATACCACATATTGTACTTGGGCACATCTATGAAAAGCATGACGAGACGAATTCAAATCGCGATGTCCGTCTGTCCATTCGTCCGTCTGTATCCTTCAATCCCTACTTCTCCCATAGCTTTTGATATATTGCGATGAAAATTCTCACAGAGGCTTTCATTTTGACGGACACAGCTAAACTGTCCAGACAGCTTCGGTGCAACCGATGATAACTTCTTAGCTCGTTTGCATCCAAAGCTTATTGATAAGCTGGCAGAGTAGTACTTAAGAGAGCGCTTAAAGGTAGTCGAGCTGAAGTTGTGCTGTGAGGTTGCGGCTGACGACAGCGCTAATAATCCGTAACTAAATGCGCTTACCAGGCAGTCCTGCTTGTTGGTTTTGGGTCATTTTGCAGCATCATTTTTGGGGGCTAACGCCAGCCCCTATAACTGAGCCACCTCCCACTTGGGCCGCCATCTCAGGGCGCCCGCTCCAACTCCCCACGAGGCGACTTCCTCATGATGCTACAACTTTTGCTGTGTCGTGTGCTCCAACTCAACTGTCAGCTATATTTTATACTTAAAATGTCTAAAGTAATTTCATTGTACTTAAGAATGTTGCTGGCGCTGTTGTTGCTACTCTAGTTGATGTCTGCTGCACAGTGGCGAGAAAGTTCCGATTTGAAACTTGAAATTAAAATACTTGTATCTGAGAAATTACACTTCAGTTACTCCGTGACTTAAGCTTGATTTTTGTTCGTCAATTGGTAACATTGTGTTAATGTTTTACGAAAGCAGTTGTTAGGATTATTTATTTATTCAATAAGGTTCAGCTTAAGTCTTCGACTGTAAGGAGGCAAAGGGACACATGCTTCTTTTATTGTCGTGGGTAAATCAATTCATAAGATCCATTTCTTCCCCTTTCAAAAGCATATTCAAAAGCATATATACTTTTAATGCTTCAGTGTTCTTCCCTCATTATTATTACCTTTTGCGTTTAATTTTATATTTTGCCTCTAACTGAACTAAACTAATACTATTTTTTGTGATTGTTCCCATACTTTGACAACGCTCGATAATATGAAATAAGCAATGAATTTTATTTGGAATTCTGTGATTTGAATTCCATAAATGCTGGTACTACCTTTTTGTTTACTGAATTGCATTTTCTAATCAGAACAAACGAACTGCCAGCATGCAGTAATAACAATTTGCATTTGTTTAGTCAATTTTGTTTATCTGTACGAGTATTTATTTTGCAAATATTAACAAAATCTCTTTTGACCTGAATATGTATTTCCTATCGTTTTCTCAGATCTGTTTAGGAGTGAAAGCCACTGTAGCTACTCTTTTATAAGGTAACCACCCAATGAGAATCACCAGAAAATATCTTTCTGGCTTCACAACACACGCTTTTGCGCCGCGTCATTTCCGACAAGGCATAAAGTATATTAAATTGAATTATTTGCCAAGTACTTAAGCACATTAAAATGTCGCATTTGTTACCGGTTCCCGTTCCCCTGCCTCGCGCCTCGTGCTTCGTGCCCCACCCTGTTCCTGTTGCTCGACGGAATGGTGGCAACTCTTTAAGGCAGCACCAGGAACCTCTGTTGGCCATCGGAGCATTGAGAAATGCCGGCCAATTACAAAAACATGAATGGGGAGAGCGAAGAGGCACAGCTGCCCGCCTCTTTAATGGCGCACAGAGCGCCATACAAATAAGAGGGGAAAAAAATAAAATGAAAAAGCTAGAAGCAAACATTGAAATGCAGACGCTTTACGAGTCTGGGTCGCATATTGGGGCAGCTGCAGTCAGCGGCAGGTTGTTGCAGGCGTCCTTGGAAGGCTCAGCACTGAGGACTAATGGCAGCGGGCATTTGAGCGAAGTGCGTGGACTCACAGGGGCGCCATAAAAATGAGCCAAGGCACGCCCATGAGGGCGTCTCGCATGTGTTTGCTTTAATTAGCCAGCAACAATTTATGAGGCCTGAATGTTATTTGCCCCGAGTGTTTTATGAGCTACTTAGAGCCGGTCAAAAAAGTGGACAAACCAGTAGAAACATACATACATATCCAGCAGCATAGCGTTGCACGAAATTATGCGAAAAATTGAAAAATTGCGGCATTTTAACTACTTATTTGGATAACAACAAGAAGTAACTTTTAATGACAGAAATTCCCAAAAGTGAACGCAATAGAAGCAAAACGAAACAAAACCCAAATCCACTGATCTAGCTAATCACTATAAAATATTCCTATTATTGATATTGAATGGTGATTTCGAGTGTTAATAGTCCAAGCATTTTTGGAAAGCAAACACCAAATAAACAATTTCTGCAGCTCAGCTCTTATCTTGAACCACATATATTTTCACATTTCTTTTCATACATATTTCTATCATCTCCAAAACTTACACATTTACATATTGTTTTAATCAATCTGTCGAGAATATATAAAGTAAGACAAAGTTGAAATTAAAATTATAAAGTATAGGAACAGAATTCTGTTAAAGATAATTGGCGTCGATTCACTGCATTTATATATTAAACGCAGGCTCAAAGATCATCGATTCGATAAGTAATCTTTAAGAATACTTATGCCTGCGTCGACTCTGACTTGACAGATTTAATAAATTAAAATAAATTACTGCATCAAAATAATAAAGAAAAGAAGGAAAAACAATAAATTATGGGAAACTGTACTCGTATTTTGGAATGTAAATATATTTGCAAGTATACGAACTAAACAGTGTCTGGAAACGTGCACAAATATTCCGCACATGTAGAGTTTTACGAGAACAAACATCCCCATCCATAGAAAGCTGGGAGATAGCGCTTGGAGCTTATACAAAATGTCTGTGCCATACTTGCATATTCATGTTTTATATTTATAATCGTGGAATGTTTTTGGTTCGCACTCACCTCAAAACTGACAATGCCGCTGTGATCCTGATCCAGTGTGTTGAATACATAATGTGCGTATAAAGTTGGATTGGCTGTAGTTGGTGGCGTTGTTTGTTTGTTGTTGTTATTTTTCATAGTTGTAGTTGTTGGAGTTGCAGTTGTAGTTGTTGGCGAAATGAAAACAAGAAAAGAAACGCATTAAATGCAAGTGTGGAGCGGACAAGCCAAGGCCAGAACTGGCGCTGCCTTTACAATAAATCTGCATACATAATGATAAGCATGTACGCAAGTCAAAATTGAATTCAACGCTCAATTCTACAAACTGTAAAGCACGCACATACACGCAAACACTCGCACACACACACACACAAATATTTAAGCATACTCTAACAAAACAAATCAAAATACATTCAACATTTAGGGTTGCAACAATTTTACGGTTGGGATTCCAAAGCACAGCTGTGGATGATGATGAAACTCCTTAACATTCATTCGTTCTCAGGCTGATGTGATTGTTCATTTTTCACTTGAGCTTTCGGTTTGATGTGCTTGTTTGTTTGTTGGTTTGTTAAATTGTTAAATTGCTTACACTCCATGCCCTTGAAATCGATTAACTATGCAAACAGCTTAAACATTTTGTGTAATGCCAGCATGAAAACGAACTCCAACATCGTCATTGTCAACGTGGTTTTCAGAATTGTTGCTGCTGTTGTTAGTGTTGTCCCCATCGAGGTCAAAACTTTCATGGGGGTCACATCAAAAGTTAACGCCCATCGCACGCATTTATCTCAACGCTGACGCTGACGCTGACGACGACGTCGACGTCAGCATCTACGCTCGCGCCCGTTGCCATAAAGTTGCAACAAAACTTTCGCTTTACTGGTTTGTCAACCGAAAAGTTTGTGTTTATCACTAAAAGTCAACATTCCACAAAAACCCAAAGTATGGCGAAAAACGCAACACAAGAACAGCGAAAACAAGTCCAAAAACTTTGCAACAGCAACATCACAAGTGCGTTAAACACACTAGCTTACAAATTCCAAATAAAATAAACAGTTACGAGCACCACGAGCATCCGAACGGAAAAACAATTTTTGAATATCATTATTCTCCGTGATAGTTTTATATCAAATCTAATATGCTTTAAGAAATTTTTCAAATCGTTAGCCGAGTGGTCGCTGAATTACGAAAAAGCATCGGTCGGTCTTATATTGGAATTGACTGATGTTCGGGATGGAAAGTTCTGTAAGCTAGTGTTAAATTGCTGCGAATGGGCAATGGGGGCGTGGCAGCTGAGGCAACTGTGATCAACTTTATAATTATATGCATGTGCATTGGTGTGTGTTAAAAGTTTCTCCCATAAGCTGGCAGAAAATGCTTTTCAGGCCTTAAGCTACGTATGTGAGTGCGTGTGTGTGTGTGTGTGCTTCTGTGTGTGTGTGTGTCTGATGGCTGCCATTTTTCAATTGCCGCGCATTGTTTACAAAAATGTTGGCAGTTGTAAAGTTTTCCACATGCATTTGCGCAAGCAGAGGCAGTGGCTTGGTCGCCACTCGACCAGAGACTGTTGGCCAACGGCTCCCTCCCAGTTGGAGCTCCACATGTCTAGGTTGGAGAGCTGAAGGATAAAATACATGGCTCAGAGCAAACGGAATTGCAATCAACATATTTGTCTTTCAATGGAATCAATCAGTGAGCGCAGAAAGTCAACACGGCCACACATAAGTCCAAATATATTGTATGTCTACAGGTGTTTAAACATTGGTATGTGGAATGGACCTAGACAATGCCAATGCCAAGACACACGAATATTCGTAATCGTCCCTAATGGCTTGTAAAGCTTACCTCCCTCCCTCACTACATTATAGCAGCAGCCGCTAAGGCCGCTAAGAACACAGAAGATGGCGCATAGGAAAGTGCTTATAAGAAAACAATCCTTTCTACCAGGGACCGCAAATAATGATTATTTTGTTTTTTTTTTTTTTTTAAATGAAAAAGTCATTCACTTATAGTAACTTTGAGAAGTGCAAGGAGTTTACAGGTATCCTTTTTTAAAGATTATCAATGCATTTATAAATTTGAATTTGTATTCATCGCTCACAATTTATGAGCAAAAAAAAAAACTATAAAATAATGATTATGCTTTGAGTTTTATTTTTAATTAATTAAAAATTAATTAAAGACTTGACTCACTGATTAAGAAAAAGCCAAAATTTCAGCTAGAGTTTTATTTTTGGTCAAAAAAATAGCATTAAAAGAATAATCATTATTTTATTAGTTTTATTTTGTTGCCCATCAATAATGGTTATTGGTTAATTTTTAAAGTAAAACTCAAAATTAATCATTAAATTGTGAGCGAATTAATAAAATTAAAAAATAATTATTATTTTGTAATTTTTATAATAACACTTATAACGATTACAGTCCCTGCTTTCTACGTTTAAGGCATGGATGTTATCCATACTCCCATAGTTGATGAAAGAAGCTCGAAATTCATGATTGCGTGCACTCGATTACATAAACATATGATACAAAAAAAGCTTCTACTTCTATTAATAATAACCCTTGATTACCATAAAACTAAATATTTCAACTAACTCAAATGCTTTTACTTGGGAAATGTGATATGAAAAAGAATCTACTATATATGTATATACGCTTAAAGTTGTATTTTTATTTCCCATTTACCATCTGGACATCAAAGGACTACAAGAATTGTATTGAATTTGAATTGAAATTACATTTGAATTGTCAGAATATTATAAAAGCATTAGCTTGGAATTTGACGCTGCCTCGAATAATTGTAAAGCCACCGCACTTTGTAAATTCTCAAAAGTGTCAAAAGGGTCTATTTATTTTTGTCAATATTGCTATACGTCTTTTTATGAATAGCTCTTAAGCAGAATTCAGTTTTCTCCTCTACTAGTATATATTTTTTTTTTTAGTGGTATAGGTCTATAATGTCTCTGACAACATATAACTGTGAATCGTGGCATAGCTGGCATTAATAGATATTACTGTAAAGTTATTATTGAGGCTTTCTTATTTTTTAAAGTATAAATTGTAACTTAAAATTAGTAAACTGTATTGATTACAGCATTATTTTTTGATATATTAAATAAATAAATAAATGAAAGAACGAAACAACAATTCGTGTTTATATGCAGTATTAGAAGTATTCGAGTCTAGTGGTCGTTTGAAACAAACAACCTTTTTTTGAAACCAACATCATGTTGACGTCCTGATCTATATATATTATATACAATCTCATTCTTCTCCCAATTTTGGTACTAAACCAATCTAAAAAATTTCAAAATTGTCTGTCGAGTTCGAGAAACAAGTAAGTTAGCTCAAGCTGGCTTATTAAAGATTATAGAACTTGTTTTCAAAGGAGCAAAACCGATTCTGGAGAGGCTTCTAAAGGAGCCAACTCGTGAGTCAAGCCCGCAACCCGCCGTTAGCACGTGATGAGAAATGTGTCTGTTCTATGAGTTGGAAATGTTGTGCGACGTCCAGCTTAGTGATGTAATGATGCTCACGAATGTCGTGCACTTCAAACACAAATATATACATATATTCAGATCCGATCAGTTAATGTTAGGAGAAGGCGTGCATAGTTTTTGGAAAATGTATATTTTGTACAAATTGACTGTCCCGCGAGACAATTAAATAGCTGCTATGTACACTATCAAACGAATTGGCATTTCATTTAACAAACGTCGACATTTCGATTTTGTTTGCACTTTGAATTTTTGTGTCGGTTTTGGCTAAAGTGGTTATTGTGGTTACTGCTGCTTCAGTGTGAATTCTGAAGTAGTAAGTGCGGATCTAAAGAAGTTTCCCTTTGATTCACCTTCGCAGCCCACAAAAGTGGAGTGACTTGGTATTTAACACTCAACACTAATCCACAGCTTATTAATTATTGAGATGGTTACCAAAAAAGCATTTCATTTTGAGCGAATTGGAGAATAGGCTGTTCGTGATTTATGCATACATTAGGTTTTGTTTTTCACTTTCAGATAGTTTCTGGAAAATATCATATCATATCAAATGTCTGAGGTCATATTTGTTAGTTCAAGTCTATAGATTAGTCTTATGATTAAGAGCACCTATTCAAATGCTTGATATATGCTTATCTACTATGGAACTTTATGTGTAGTTGACTCCTTTTATCTAGAGCTTTAAGAAATGTTTTCGATATCAAACGATTTGATGTATATTCTACTTCTCTTCTGGTTTAATTTGCCATTTAAATTTTCTACCTAAGATTTCTTATTTCAAAGTTGCTATGTCTTTCATTTTACTTTGATCCGACCTATTCTTCTTCATATTAGATTAAAAGAAAATAACAATATTAATGTCAAAATCTTACAAATAAATTTCTAAGTATACAAATACAAGTACAAGTTTCTATTTTGCGTGTTCCGTTCAGAATTTAACATAAACATTAGCATACTATGCTAATATGGTGTCCTATAAATTCTCCAAATAATATTGCGCTATAAAAACATGAACTATTAATACACAACGAATTGTTTTTGTCGGCCATGAAGTATTTTATGTTGACCGGGAACACATCAATTCGATATTGAACTGTTGCTTTTATATATTTTTTGTGCATTTGCTTTGAAACTTTTCCATTATCAGTCGAGGCGTTAATATAAGAACGGGCATTTGCCAGATGTACTCGTACATATATACATAAGTGCAAGTTCGCATCAAGTTGTAAATGCCAGCGCCAATATGCCACCTTTTGCCCCGACCCCGACCCCACACCACCCCGCCCCAGCCACTGTTGGCAGTTCAAGTTGCTGTCATTTGTTGGCCATTTGAGGCTGCTATCTGCACAGCCCAGCTGTCATTCATTTCAGTGCCACATGCCACACACTCGCACATACATACATACGTGGTGTATATGCAATGCTCGGCGAGATATTGGTGCTGTTGATGTTGATGTTGGTATTGACGACGTCTTTCATTTAAGTGAGCAAAATTTCTTTATTTTGCCAGCACATTACATTTTGATTATTGCCTGCCACGCCCCGCCACAGTGCCGCCAGCGCCTACGAGCAGGCCACGCTCATTTGCACAA